TTGCTCTCAAATTTATATCACATAAAGAGAGGCGGATTTGAAACGTACTAATTACAACAAACCTTATCAGTCTGTCTGAGTGTCTATGTTATGGAAATATTGTTTTCTTTTTTTTGGTCGTTTCATACACGGTCATTACTTTAATCACTGCATAATTGCGCGGGAAAGAAATAAAAGGTTTTTGCACCAAAACCGTTCTTCATTCTGCAAGCAGTGCCAGTGTAACCACTTGGTAGCAAAACTTCTCCAATCGTTCTTCAGTGTTTTCTTCCTAAAGTCGTAAGTTTTTATTATTATTAGTTCACTTTTATTTCAAATCGATATTCAACTTTCGTGACTTGATCCTGCAACTAATTGCATACTGTTGTTGCCGAATGAACGTAATTGAATCGAAAGAGATGGAATCTCCGTTTGGAGACGAGACGAAGCCATTTCGTAATTACAATATTCACTTATCTAGCTTCGCTCCGCTCTTTCCCATCTGTAATTCCTCCCCGCCGCAGAATAGTAATGCAATAAATAAATGGGGCGAGTCCACCTCTGCAAAATGAATGAATTTGAACAAATATAAAATGTATGTTCGTGTTATTTATGCGCTCGAACGGCGGAAGAATTCACAAACACGTCGAAATTATTTGTTTGTTTTTTTATGTGTTCATAATTGCAGCGGTTTGTTTTTTTCATTTAAAACGTCGCTCCTCGGAACCCACCTTTTCAGTTTGCTTTCAGCGCTCGTTCAGACCGTTCGCCAGTTCCAAAGTTCTTGCGATACTGCAACCAGTTTTCGCTCCGCTCGTTTCTTTTATATATATATATGCGCGCAACAGCAGACACACATACATCTTACATTCATGGTAAGGAGTTGTCGACATTTGATGTGGTGGTGGTTATTCGATGATAATCATCGCTGCCGGCCAATCGATATTTTGAAACTTTCCTTATCTCATAAATATTCAAACGTCGGTCAGGGTGTGTGTATATGTGTGCGCTGGCTAAGCCGACGATCGTCGTATCTGATCATTCTTAGTTAATGCGTTGACATCCTTCGATTACAGACGATGCCAAATCACGTCCTGGAGTCCTCGCCTAATGCGGCGCTCAACAAGTCCATCATCGGCAAATTCATGGATTTGCCGATTCCGGAGGGCAAATGCCAGGCCATGTACATCTGGATTGATGGCACCGGAGAGAATGTGAGAGCCAAAACGAGGACCGTCGATTTCATTCCAACCAGTGTCAAAGGTAATAACTTTTATTTGTTGTTGCTTCTATTCTGTCGTCTCTTCTCTCTTCGAATTTATTTATTTATTTTGTTTCTTCTTCGCAGAACTGCCAGTCTGGAATTACGATGGAAGCTCCACGTACCAAGCGGAAGGAGGCAATTCCGATACGTATTTGCACCCTGTCGCCATGTACAACGATCCCTTCCGCAGGGGAAACAACAAGTTGGTCCTGTGCGAGACCTACAAATACAACAAGAAACCCACCGGTAATTCATTGAATAAATAAAATTAATAATATCCTATTCTCAATCTTCATTTCACAATTGCAGAGTCGAATCACAGGCATTCTTGTGCGAAGACAATGGAAGCCGCCAAGAAATGGAAGCCGTGGTTCGGAATCGAACAAGAGTACACCTTGCTCGACTTCGATCTGAGACCTCTTGGATGGCCGAAGAACGGTTTCCCGGGACCCCAGGGACCTTACTACTGCGGCGTCGGTGCAAACAAGGTCTACGCCAGGGACATCGTCGAAGCCCATTACAGGGCTTGCCTCTACGCCGGCATCAATATCTCCGGAACGAACGCCGAAGTTATGCCAGCTCAGGTAAATGGAACGCGTCAGATTAACAACATAGAACATCATACTATAATATAATAATAATTTACAGTGGGAATATCAAGTTGGACCGTGCGAAGGCATCGACATCGGAGATCAACTCTGGATGTCGCGCTTCCTTTTGCACAGGGTCGCCGAAGAGTTCGGAGTCGTCGCCACATTGGACCCGAAACCGATGCCTGGTGACTGGAACGGTGCCGGTGCCCACACCAACTTCTCCACCGAGCTGATGAGAGAGGAAAACGGTATTATGTAAGTATCGCAATTTCACAATTTGCATATAACTAAACGTACTATTATCCATATGCTTTCGTTTTAACAGTGAGATCGAAAAGGCCATCGATAAATTGAGCAGAAACCATCTGAGACACATCCAGGCGTACGATCCTAAGGGAGGAAAGGACAACGAACGTCGTTTGACCGGAAAACACGAGACCTCGAGCATCCACGATTTCAGTGCAGGTAAACAACTAAATATAAAACTTAATGTTTGGACCGTGCATTACATTGCCTCTTCTCTCGTCCTTCTATAGGTGTTGCTAATCGTGGAGCGAGTATTCGTATTCCCAGAGGTGTCGCCGAGGAGAAGCAAGGATACCTCGAAGATAGGAGACCATCGTCGAATTGCGATCCGTACTCGGTTTGCGAAGCGCTCGTCAGAACCTGCATCCTGGATGAATAGATGCATGAACTGATGACAACTATTGTTCCTCAGCACAATAAAGAATATTATATTTTTCGATTACATTATCAACATAGAAAAGAAAGAAGAAGAATAAGAAGATGGAGAACTACAAATAGGTTTAACAAGTTACATAGTAATTATTATTATTATTATAGCTACAATTATTATTATTATTATTAGATATGTCGTTTATTACTATTTGTATTAATTTCACATTACGAAGCTCAATTGTTGCTATTAGGTTGTTCTTCAGCATTAGCTAAGTAAGAGTTTTTAGGGACGAAAACCACGTTTGACCAAATCACCGTATTTTTGTTTTGTTTATTTGTTCGTTTATATTGTGTAGTAGCTAATTGAAAGAAAATATATATCTGATGAGACCATATCATATATACCACCAACACACATATATATATTGTAATTTGTTTCTGTATTCGTTCATAGTTATTTTATTTTGTATACAATGTATGTCTACAATTTTACCAAGACACAATCAAAAAAAAAATTATATTATATTTTTAAACATTTTATTATTATATTAAAAATAGTGTTTATTACAATAACTTTATATTTGCATATCATTTCTCCCGATTTTCTTAATATCCGCATCAACTATGGTTAAAGATTAGTTTGCAAAACTCTCGGAACAAATCATAAGATCTGAAATCGTACGCATTATGTAGGGTTTGTGCATTCATTAAATTGAACAAATATTGTTTGGTTTTATAAATAATTCTTTTAATATAAAATATATTCTACAAATAACGCACTTACAGACCGGCGCAGATTTGCATCAGTTTGTAAGGGTTCGAGCCGCTCAGGAAAGAAAGTTCTTCGTCTTGACCGGGTGCAGGTTGGACCCATTTTCTTTCCCTATAATATTCCATGCAACTCGTGAATTCCTTGTCCGTGTATTCGTTAACAGCCACCGGAATGAACGGGTCCAAATGTTCGAATCCTTCCTTCCCTAACAAATACCTAAAGCAGAATATAAACGTTAAAAAGTTATAGAGATTGCAAAACAAGTAATATTTACTTTGGCATGTGAGATAGTTGATCTTCTTTGGCGCTCGCGATTTCGTCGACGGTTAAAACGCAAACGGCGTTATTCCAATCGAACTTTGTTACCTCCAAAAAACCTTCGGTCACCGTTACCTTGCTAGGAGGCACCATCTCTTTCTTCTCTGTGTAAACCCGGGTCTTGGGGTAAAAGAACCCATTGTACCCGTCGATTGCCACCATGGTCTTGCATTTACCCTTTTTGGAAAGCTCCTTGATTTCCATACACAAACCCAAAACGCAACTGCTTGCATACTTTACGCGACTAATGCCGTGCTCAATCAATTCCAAAATATGCGCTCCCTTCTGCGTTTTCTCCCTTTTGCTCCAAACATAATCCTGGCCAATAACCAAATCTGCGTTGCTCAACACATGAGCATTCTGTGTTTTGAAGTGTACCAACCAGTTGGCTGCGTCCAAATTGATGTCAACATTACCAGGCTTCAATTCAGAATTGCTATATTCTTTGCAATAACGCATCCACTGTCCCACCCATGGCACATGCAGAATCAAGTGTCCAGTTTCCAAACCATAATGAACGACGTGCGCCAATGCCAGAGATTTACCACTACCCTTCTTCCCATACAGAACAAACCTATTCACAGGTTTACTATAATCGATAGACTTTATGCAATTGATTATATCCAGACTTGGCTCACGTACCATCAAACATGTCTCAGCAAATGACTTTGTCTGAATGTTGTAGGACTTGGGAATACCTCCATGTGCGAAAAGCTGATTTCTGATGTCCTGCGGTATCTTGTAGTATTGGGCACTGTTTGATGATGAGTGATAGCTGGGTTTGTCTTCAGAGGTGCGAAATTTCTGGGAATGCGTTGCGACACAAAGTGCACGTATATTTTTCGGTAACCTCGCACCTAAAACTTCTTTGCTGACCACCTTCAACATCTTTTTTTACCTACAAACTTGATCTATATACAAAATGTTAACAATTAACCTACAAACTCTCAGAATCAAAAATCACATTTTGTAATTCGTAGCTAACTTCGCAATGTATCAAAAGTTATATAAATTTTAAATAAGTATTTTATTTCGTTCTTTCAGTTACATTACAAACTCAAAGTTAACGTATAAACTTTACTTTTCATTAAATAAGCATTAGAAGACGCCAAAGCATATTTTAAAATAAACTTTAAATACTAAATTTCAAGCAATATCTCCAAATGCTACTCAGTACAATATTTATTAAATAATAATCAGGACATATAATTCAATTTTGTTTGCCTGAAATGCATTTCAAAGCTTAAAACTTCTCATCAAAGTGAAGGAAAAACTACTTTAGTTTCATATTTATGTTTCTCGTTTATTATTATTAATACATGTATGTGTTCTTAACAAATAAGTAAAATGTACGTAGGAATGCCTTGTTTCAATATCCTATACAAATTTTACTCGTATTATGCAAATACCATATTATTTGGAACAATATTATTATCCGTGTCAAACGCAAATGTATGCTGAATAATTAATAAAATAAGTGTGTCCAAGAATTTGAGGTGAAAAGAAGCGACAGTGAAGAGACAATGTAATTACACACGCTGAGCGGAAAACTTTATAACGCCTAAAGGAAATGGGTTCAATCGTCGGCGAAATGTATTTGGGTTCTTTACTTGCGCTTTTACTCAGCGATCCTCTTACGAAGCTCTTAACTGAAATAACCGAGAACTATTTTGACGATAAGCAGAAATTGATCATAATCTCGAGCAGATTTGATTACATCCACGAGATCGAGGGATTCCTAATGACTATAAACGAAAACCCGATCGAGATAATCAATGGGTTCTTGTTTGAACGCAGGAAATCGAAGAGCGAAGGTTTCGTCATTCAATTCTGCTTCGTATTCGAGTTGGAGTACTACTTCAGCAGGATCGCAATCAATCAGTTCCAGAAATTCATATTGATCGCGAAATGTGAACACGTCAATCCATCTACAGTCGCGAAAACCCTCTGGAATGACTATTTAAGCGATTTCCTGATTATCACCAAAGACATGGAACTTTTCACCTGGTTTCCATTTAGTACTGGCAATTGCGGCGACAATTTCACTTTGTTGAAAGCGAAGAAAAACGATCTTTTTCCTATTAATAAAATTAACAACTTGCACGAGTGTCCGATCAAGGTGAAGTTCCAATACATAGCGCCGTTCGTAATGAACGAACGAGATGGGGCTTTGATCGAAATGATCAACACCCTGGGACGACTGTACAATTTCACACCAATCCATAATATTCATAGCGGAAAGAACGATGTTATCGATTTCGAATACATGTTTGATGGCCTGAAAAATCGGTCAGATGATCTGAGTTTACCTTTGGACAGTTTGTCCGTTTTCAGGAACTTGTTGTTCGATTATACCGGTTATTATTTGGTGGATCCTGATTGCCTTTGCATAAGAACGCCCAGAAAGATATCAAAGTTATCCAAACTGGCCGAACTCATTTTCTCGCAGTTTTATTATACCATATACGCAATGATTATTCATGTGTTAGTTACATTCCTCTTCGGCAAAGTATTACGAGCCAAGGAGCGCTTCAATAGTTTCGTCAATATTTATCATTCGTACCAGAGGGTGATCTTAGGTGCCGGAAGTTATATAATGCCAATAAGCGTGACACTGAGAATCTTGTTCGCCGCTTGGCTGCTGTACGCTCTAGTATTTTCCACTCAATATACAAGCATTTTGTTTCAAAGATTCAAAGAGCCCGTCTACGAGTTGGAGATGTTCAATGAAAAGCTCGACAACGCCACCAAGTTCGTTCCTATCTACTTCGATCGACAGATAATGCCATTGCTGAAACAGAACACCACGCATTTGGCCAACATGTTTCAGATCTGCGAGGACCCTATCGAATGTTCAGCTAAGGTGATCAATGGTGGACCGTACATGTCCTTCATGAAGAGACTCGTTGTCGACTATAATGTCTACAGATTCGTCGATGAACATCGAACCGTGCTGTTGAATTGCTACAAGAGCACGCACAGCATGAACTACTTGATGATCTATATGAGAAACAACTACTTCATGAAGAACATTCTGAGTAAGGCCATCAGACACATGGTCGCCAGCGGTTTGATCATAAACAAATTCGATCAGCTGATCCACAAGAACAAAATCAAAGACGCGGTGGCTTGGGAGGTGTTCGTTGCCGAGGAAGGCATGACCGGTATTCTTCACTTCGAGGACTTTCTTATTATATTTCTCTACATTCTTATAGCACTCTCCATAGCCTTGGTCGTCTTTCTGCTCGAGATTCTTCACTACCGATATAAGAACGTGGTAAACTGTACCACGCGCTTGCACGTTGGCCATAGCGTTTGAGCAAATTGCAAAAGATCTGTGTTGTTGGGAGCGTCTCAAAAAATAATAACAATATATTTATAAATAAATTAATATTAATTATAATATAAAAAAAGAAAAGAAATGTAATTGTAGTAAATGCAAGCAGCTATTCAAATAAATCCATCGATGACACATTGTTTATTAGATCATTTAAAAATGTTGTTGCATCCATCTCAGATTGTGCGCAATATAATGTGTACGCCAGAATCAGAGGATACAGCCTCACTGAGCTCACCAGGTTTCAATGCAAATGCAGCCTCTTCAAATGGCTTCTGCATTGCACCCCTGCCAAAAGGTCCCAGATCACCACCCCTTCTCGCAGAAGAACAATCAGAGTACTTTTGGGCCAACTCAGAAAATGTTGCTTTGCCACCAACAATCTGTTCTCTATATGCTAAAAGAAGAGAGAGCAATTCAGAAGTGTTACATGCTTTTTGAGATAAACTTACATTTAACAAGATCAAAGGCTTCATCCTTGGTCCTTGTGATCACGTCTTCCCTCCACGAGGAAGGTCTACGGGATTCCCTGTGTTTCACCAGCAAGTGAGAGCACTGCACCTGCTCTGGTCCACTGGAGCCACTAGGCTCTGCAGGCTTATCCGGCACATCCCATTGGGATTCTTTGGTGTACACATTGAGATAGTAATGTTGACCTGTGCCTCAAAATCAAATGAATCTATTGTTCGATGTTGTTAATTAATAATTACTTACCTGTGGAGCGACTCAACCGTTTTTCCCACCCGGCAGGTAATTGTTCGTCAGCCATTTTCAATGTGAACAATTGACAGAAACTGCAACTGACAACAACTCCTCAGGATAAATTACCAACGTAAGAAAATGAAGAACGAAATTGAATCGATTTGTCTAGAAAAGAAAGACATGGACTATTCAATTCAAATTTTTGTTTTAAACAAATTAAACCTGTTTGCAGGTTCGATAAATTCAAATTAATCAAATAAAGTGAAGTTAAGAGCGAAAGGTGTTTCTGGTCAGCTGGGCGGTGACAGTCGTGCGTGACAGTTAGCTGTCGGTTGCTGTCGGCGTTTGGTTTAGTAGTTAGCTGGATGATGCGCGTCTCGCATCGTGTGTGTTTGTTGTATGGGCTGCAGATCGACACGTTTCTTGTTTCCAGTTTCTCTTTTCGCTCCTATTAGCATTTAACGCCATCACCAGAAGGACCCGCTTTCCCTCAGGTTACCGTGCGCTCCTCCAAGTCGAACGTGTTGTTCCACAGGTGCCGTGACTATGATAACCTTTATACAAAACAGTCAGATCTGATTTAGCGACTGTAAACAAACAGGTTTCCTTCGTCTTCGTGTATCCAACAACAATATCTAAGGTAAATATATGCATTATTATAACAATTGTTGATTGCAAATGTACCTGCATTATTCAACATCACAGTACAGTAACAAAAGACAATCGTCGAAGCCCACGCATACTTTGCATTGCGAAATCAAGAGATTTCATATTGGATCGCACCGCTCCAATCGATTGATATTATCGAATCAATCCTCGCCACAGACACACTTGCTGTTGTTGCTGAAATTGCTGTTAATCTTAGGTTTGCACGAAGAAACGTATGTTCGATGAACGAACTGGTATTTTAGTTGACGTGTACAATATTTTAAAATGTAGCAAACCATTGAAATGTAAAGGTATTATTTTAGTCTTATTATCTCATCGTTTTCCTTTTATTTTTCTTCACACTCACGCTCCAATGTTTCCACTCCATAACTTCCGCATATCCACAATATCTGATTATATAAATAACCATTATCCACCTGTATCTAACATTGAAAATATCATATTTTAGAATTATCGAGTTTTCAAATACATTGAAATGTATGTATTTTTTTAATTAATATCAAGTATTAATTAATATCAAATTTATTGACTTTAACAGATTTTGCTTTTTTTTTGCGCGCATTTAATATACAAATATTATTGATATTTCGAAGGGATTATTTTTTATTTGTTTTATTCAATTTCTCTGGGCGGACGTATCTTATGCACACTTATTACTCATAGCGCATACCTCGATGCAGCTTTTGTCTTTATTAATTTCGACACAATTCTTGTTGTCGGCACTTTGCAAGAAACTGTGTCACGTTGCATTTCGTTACAATTATTTATTTGCTTATTACGAGTGCGTGTGTCAATGTGGAAATGATAATATGGTAAGCCGCTGCTGCGATAAGCTTTGCCATTATCTGTAGGTGCACTCGAAACGCAGTCTACTATGATATTTGTATACAAATATCAAATGCAATGCTACTGAAAACATTAAAATGTAATGCCCTGATCAACACATTCACAGTATAATGAACGTACGCTTTTGCATATATTTGATGTTATTGCTGTACGTACAAGTATGTTTCATCCATCCGATGAGATAATCTCTGCATCATTCGCACAGGCACAGACCAGTGAAAGTTTCAATGACGAATTGCTCTTTGTGTGTTTTTATTTCGGATCAAATTTCAATTTAATTGCCGTTGCCGTTTGAATTACGGTCAAGGTGTGAGTGTTGAAAAATTTTGTGTACAAAACACTACAGTGTTTGTTGTTGTCTATTGATTCATTTATATATATTTGTTAATAATATGTAGTTTCAAGCGTTATGGAATATTATGCAGTTTGAATATGTGGCAGACTGATAAAGCACCGGTTGCCTTCTACGCTTTATTTAAATTTGTTTTATTTTTAGTATGCATTAGGATTCCATTTGTAATATACGATTATAACACTTTTTTTTTGTTGCTCTGTTTGTAATGACCAACATCAATTCGACGATGTTAACAATTCTTGTACTGTTACGTCTACAATTGCAACGGCATTGCAGATTTTGGGTCCAACCCTCGTTGCACTCACCCTTGCCCACTTTCACTGTGTAAAAATCCACAGAGGGTGAGCGAGTGCACACGTACGGGCGGCGATCATCCGCAATGTGCGCTGGGATTGTAATTATATTGATTTTCGTGCTCCCACTGTGATGCCTCCTCGGTCGATCTACGAAGATTTGCCACCCTCCGATTACGACCTTAATTCCTCCATTTCGCATCCTCAGGCGTCTGCTTGCTCCTTTGATTCTTCAATTACTGGAAAGAGAGTCGTAATGATAAAAGTGTTCTGAAGAGGTCCGCACCTTAATTAACCTAATTCGTATACCCAACCTATGTTAACATCGCACCCCTCTAGCAATAATTGAAGGTCGAAGGCGAGGAAAACAAAAGTGATAATATCGCACGCGATAGTTTATTTCATTCGTTTCATGAATATATCTTCTCTAATCGTTTTTTTTCTTTTCAAATCATGTGTATGACTATGCGTGGTAATATGTGTACTTTCTGTCCATGAACATTTCCGTATGTTTTTGGAGTGCTGCTGTTGTTGTTGGTACAGTTATCGATTCTGATTCCCACGCGAAATATTAATGGATTGCCTTACTAAGAACATTTCAACATGTTAATGACCTTTACGTCGTTTGCAAAATCTAAAATTTCACTGTTTTTTTCTTATTCACTTCTTCGATGAAAGGCGACAGCAACTGCAATAATATGCAGGTTTCTTATAAACGCGTTCAAGTGTACGCGGAAACGATTCATACGGTGGATGTGGGCTGTAGAACTAATAAAATTGTGAAATAATGTTGGACAAATACAAACAAATTAAAATCATTCAATTAACATTGGTATTTTAATTTTTTTTTTGAAACTGAGATATCTTTGGAAACATTTATCTAGATCAGAGGTTCCCAAACTTTTTTGTGTCGTAGACCCCTTGTCATGTTTTTCGGTTTTGGGTCTCTTCTAACAGTAGTGAAGTTTAGTGTTAAAAACTTAAATTAAAAACATATGTTAAGTTTTATACATTTATTAATTGAATTTAAATTAAAACTACTCAAAATAAAATTTTGTAACTGTTATATAAAATATACGTAACATAAAATAAACT